AGGTCTAGCTACTCTGTCATGAGCGTACTGTCCTCAGGGCTTGCCTCTTCCCAACAACTGGGAATCCTTCCTACCTGCAGGAGACAGAGAGTTGCAACTCTTTGCTGCTCCCTGGGTCTATTCCATGGCCAGTCATGGACAAAGTTACTTCCTCTCTCTGGGTTTCAGTTTCTTTGCCTGCCAAATAAGGGGATTGTAATGGCTAATTTCTAAGGCTCCTTCCAGGCCTAACATTATAGGATTCAATGATGTTGTCTTGACAGAGGTGATACTGATGGAGTGAAGAAAGGTCCAGAATGGGTAAAATAGTAAAACTGAGCAAAAATAGCTAGGAAGGAAAGTAGAGACAGACTTGAGGAGCTAGGGGCAGAAGAGTAACAGTGTACAGTAAAACTACGTGTGCATTCAGAAGTTTGAGTTGGAGGCACGGCCTCAGGCAAGTGGGTCATTAAAGAAGGATGTAAAACCCGGGCATATTATAAGATTAGCCCAAGGCCACATAAATGTCACAGCATCCTTGGGATGTGTCTGGTTTGTTTTTTGAGGGTTATCGACTTTTAGGCATTGGTTTTTTTAAGCAGAGATCTCCAGAGAGAGGATTCCCAGAAACTTTAACACTTGGTTAAGTTTAATGGAGTAGATGAGAGGTAGCATGACATAATGAAGAGAGAGGGGGCTTCAGGGTCAGAAAGACATGGATTCAAATCCTGTTTTTGACACATTCTAGCTGTGTGACCCTGGACAAATCCCAACTACTCAGCAGCCTACTTAGAGAGCAGCTACTGATCATGATTAATAGGAGGAGTTTCCATACCAAAGGGTCCCTACATCAATGAAATCATAACTTCTTCCATCTCCATCTTCCCCCAATTCCAGTAGAATAATTTCTGAAGTCTCTTTCAACTCTGAGATTCTGTAATTCTATGAATGTGGTCCATGTTGGATCATCAGGAGGATGAATGAGAAGTACAGAGGTTCCAGGATGGCAGGTCTGAAGACTGAAGCCATGAACACGACCCACTGGACTTACAGAGTGGGACAGCACAGAAAAGAGAAAACAATGGCCAATATGCTTTGGTCTGGAGACCAGGAAAGGAATATTCTATTGAAGGCCTGTCACGAGACAGTGAAAGGAAAGAAACAGGAAGGAAATTTCCTCTAAGGATATAGAGGATTTTGATTTTGATCTAGGACTGGATGAAGGGCAGGGAGAGTGTAGTAGCATGGACTGGCTAAAATGACTGGTAAGAAAAGGACTGGTAAGGGCGCCATGTTCAACCAGGAATGGTCTGTTTAGGACTTTAAGCTTACACTGTTACATGCTAAGTACAGAGCTTTAATACGGTGCAAAACTAATGAAATAAGATATTTACTTGGACCATGCCACAATTGGCTTAATTTGTTTTTTCCCCACCCTCTATTTTCCCCAGATTGTAGCAGAATTGGGTTCATCATCTAAATTGTCTGTGAGCTGGACTACAATAGATATGGCCTGGAGGAAAAGCTAACTTTGAAAAAGGTGGTGGGGATGGGGGCAAGTCCCCAGCTGATTGATCTGTGATAGTAATGATTTGTGTCTAAATGTTGCTTTAGAGTTTAAAGACGTTTTGCTTGCGACAAGGCTATGAAAATATGGTATTACAAATATTAGCCCCATTTTCCAATGAAGAAACTGATGCCTACAGAAATTAGGTGACTTGTCAAGGTCTGAAGAGAATGCCAGATAGGACTGGCTCCATGTGTTGTCCTGCTTTCACCGAGATTGCAAATTCTTGGAAGATAGATGCCATCCTTTGTAATCATTTTTGTATGTGCCTCAGACTTAGCACATTCTCCTGCATATAGTCAGTGACTGTTAGATGGAACATAGAATCATAGTTTTTGAACTGGAAGGAATCTTAAAGACCCCCTAATCCATCAATACCCCCTTAGGTTTCAAATGAGAAAATTGAGCCCTACTAATTGTAAGTGGCTTAACCAGTAACACTCAAATGATAAGTACTAGGGTTGGGATTCGAACCTAGGTCTTTCTATGTTCACATTCAATGCCCTTTCCAGAAATGAATAAAATCTTCCCTCTTATAACTCAGAAATGGTGACAGCAAAGAACCACTGCAGCCATCCAGCAGATGAAACAAATGCATCACAATATTTGGAGCTGGGTGGGAACTTAGAGGTCACGTGGTCTGACCTTCTCATTTTTCAGATAAGGAAATCAAGGCCCCTAGACGCTAAGTGATTTGTCTAAGGTCACACAGGTAGGAAGTGGCAGAGCTGGGGTTTGAACCCACACCTTCTGTATCCACAGCCAGTACATGGATATGGTGGTAGGCCCTGTTTGATAACAGTTACAGTGATTCATTTACCCAGGGGAAAGTGTCACCAGGTTATTATTATTTTGGCAAGTAGAAAGCAGGGACAGTGAGTGTCAGTCATCTGGGGCGGAGGGTCTTTTTACCCCAGGGAGCAGTCTGTAGACAGTTGAGTTTGAGAAAGGCAGCCAGAATATCCAAGCACTTTTAGTGGTCCAGAAAGGGGTAAGGGAAGGGAAGAAATTGACAAGAACAACAAGGTGGTTGGTTGGGTTTTTTTTTTTGCAACAAAAGAAACTATTTATTTGGAATATGCATTACCAGTACAAATTAGGAGACTGTAAAACCTACACCTTGTTAGTATCATTAGAGAACACAAAAGTTTCAGTTGGAGTCAAAAGGACAGAGGCCTGTGCTCTCACAGAAGCAGAAAAAGCTTAAACTTTCAAAATCAAAACCAAGCTGAGCTTTGCAGGTTTCATACTCTGAATTATAAGAAAAGGAGGCTTGGGGAGGGCAGGTGGGGAGAAAAAAATCAACAACCAAAAGAATGCATTTCAAAACAACTTGAAAACTTTTATAAGGGAAAGGCAATAAAAGAGGTCGCAAGAGAGACAGGGAAGGGTTATTTCATTTATTTTAATAATAAGGGGTGGGGGAAGGCTTATGAAAACCGAAAGACTCCAGAAAGCTTTGAGCTAGAAACTGAATGGTGATGTGAAAAGTTGGTCATTTTCTACAATCTAAAAAACAGCAATACAAGTGTTTGGCCAGGGCAGTTGCCTGAAAGGTTGCTCTGCAGAATATATACTTTCTTCATATTCTCCCTGCTTGGGTTCCAAGGACTTCAGGAGCCCTTGGTCTGAGAGACTTTCTAATCAATTTACTTCCATTCCTTTTATCCACCAGTGAATAAAAATATTCCAGTTCAGCCAGCCTTGCAAATAACTACAATTTACCAGCCCACTTTTGTTTATTGGCATTTTAACCAGCTGCTTTATCCCACTGAGATACATAGGTAGTGAATCAAACTGACGTCAAAACAACACCAACAAAAACTCACCAAACATTAACTGTTAGCCCCTAGATGAGCTGCTTTTATTTCTTAGGGCAGGCCAATGGTCATGGGCTAGGGGAAGGGAGAGAGAGGGAAAAATTAGCAGACTCCAATTCTACCATGACTAAACATGGATTCCCAAAATTGAGGGGGATATATACATCCTATCTGATGCCCTGCAATCCTTGCAGACCATGTCGAAGGCTGAGGCCTGGCTAAATAAGACAATTATTATCCTCTTTCATGTGAAACTAACCCAAGTAAACAGTCAGGCTCAAATTTTCACATTTTGGCTTTTTTCTCCCTTCAAATCAAACCAAAACAAGATGGTTAAGATGGAAGCTATACCAAATATGCCCCGTCCTAGTCCAATAATGTTCCCAACTATGCAGTTGGCCCCCAAATTCTAGTAAATTTCACTGAAATGGCAAGGCTAGGTGGCTGAAACTGTGGAATGTTGTTATTAATTAGGTGGACAGAATAGAAAGTAAACCTTTATGGCACTCAGTATCAACCCAGGCAGAAACTATGTCCATGGCACTACAAACATTTCACGGCTTCATCCCTGCCATTTTCCCATAGCCAAGAGAAGAGCTCAGGTCACTGATTTTTCCCCGGGTACAAGCACCACATACTTTAAAAAATGTAGGTGAGAAAAGCAACATGTTTGATAGGTTTGTCTTAGCTTTTTGAGAATTCTGAAGTGCGGGAGAAAAACAAACAAAAAAAAACCCTAGTCTACAGATTTCATCTTTTCACATCACCTGGTGTGTGTGTGTGTGTGTGTGTCTCACACACACACACACACACACACACACACATATTTAAAGGAATAAAAAAGACAAGGTCATAGTCTGGACAATTAAAAAAAACACACAATAACCAAATAGCCCCCAAAATAAGCAAACCAAAAATAACACGAACAAAACCAAAAAAAAAAAAGATAATGATTTTTTGTATTTTTTTTTAAGGAATAGGAAAATAAAAGAAAAGAATTTACTTCTGGGTCTCAAAGTTAATAAACATAATGTGTTAAGATGTACCTATTATGCTCACTATTCCAACTTTTCTTTTAAGTTTACAAAATGAATTACTGTCACTTTTAAACATTGTGAAACAGGAAATGGATGTGCACAACTCGACACTTTTCTAGCATTCTTGAACTAATTCACAAATGCAAGAAAATAAAAGAAAAATGGGGGAAATGATGAATGTAGGTAGTTCGGTGTTAGAAACAAATGCAGGAATGATGCTCATTGTCACAGAAAGAAGAGGGGCAATTCCCCAGCCTGTTTTGCGTGCTATGAGGGTCATTTTTAAAATTTTTATTATAAACACTATTAAATTCAGACCGCTTTTTTGGTTTTTTTTCTTTATCTGAATATACAAGAACATTCATTATCAAATGTTCATAATCAATACTACAAAGAACGAGACACAAGTCGCAAGAAACAATGGAAAATGTTAATAAAGCTGAAAGAATCGTCGAGAATTTTTTAAAGTTTTTTTAAGTTTTTTTTTAATTTGAGTTTCTGCAGTTTTTTTCTTTTTTGGTATCGAAGTCAGGTTTTTCTGGGCAGAAAAAGAAAAAAGCAGAAGCAAAAAAAAATAGAGGGATGGGTGTGGAAAAAGGCAAGTAGGAAAGAAAGAATGATCATCATTGCCAAAAGAAAAAGCAAATTAAAAGATGTAAGTTGGCAAAAATACTTCAAGGGAATCAATAACTACACAAGGGAAGGAGAAGGGAGATGAAAGGAGGACATTATGAACAGGGTAAGTAAACCAAAGCTCTGGCAAATAATTTTTCAGGGATAATCTGCTGCCAGGAAACATTAAGGGCACCTACTTCCCCTAGAAAATGAAGGGCATCTGGGGACAGAAATGGTGCCCAAGTGGCTGACTATGGATTGAATTAGTGTTCCATTTCAGGAGGCACTGCCACGCCCTATCCTTTTGCTGAGCTCCTACTTGACCCAACAGTGAAAGAGCTCTCTTGGCTGCCATGATGGTGGCATAGTGGTGTTTGATGGACTTGAAATCTTTCCAAAGGAGTGGGACAGAGAGAGATGGGGAATAAGGTGAAGAGTGTAATGTGGGAGATGCTTTGAGAGTGGAGCAAAGTATAAATGAAAGGTGTGGGAGAAATAGTATATGGGAACGAGGCTCTGCTCTGAGTTTTCCTTCCCACTTGCTTATGATCATCATGTATCTGGGCCTGAAGGTCTAGGATGGATTGGGATCTTATTGTTCTCAATAAATAGGAATCCTTTTGGTAGTAACCATACCCTTTTATTCTGCCAACAGCATAGCCTTTGACTCTGATGTTCTTAAATAGGGTAGGAGTGGGTGCTATTTCTGGTAAAACAGAACCTCCCCATTGATCCTAACAATAAGAATTCTATCCAAGAGAAGCCCCACTTACGGCTCTATAACAGAGAACGGGGAATGATGCTTCCACAGAGCTATTAATACTTTCCCACCACAAATTTGAATCTTAAGATTCATGAGACTAGTTCTCTTCCCATTTCATTAAAACACTTCAATTGGTCCTCAAGGTATAACTCTACCTGCTAGCAAGTTAATTTTAAATTTCTTTGAAACTTAGGTTTTCTGAGTTTCTTATGTAGGGGGGAGGAGGACATCAATCCCCCCCTCCCCCCAGAAGGAAGAGCTTTCATTCATTTTCACAGTGCCATAGTATGATGATGACCAGATGCATTCTGAAAATGCTTGTCCTTGCCCTCAGAACTTTGGCATCCAACTGGAAAGTGTCAGAATGAGAGGATGCTGGGCATGGTGAGTGACTGTGAGCAGGCTATTTCCAAAAGTACTTGACAATGTCTTATATTGGACTCATGTTCAAGGCAATAGAATCAGGCAGAACCTATCAGTTCACTTAGAAACAGTAACTCAAGCTAGAAAATGGCCTTTCTTTCTAATTATAATATTAGCAGGAATTAGAGCAATAAAGCCCTTTATTTCACCTACATAACATAGGTTAGTTCATGCCAAGAGACCATCACTTTACATATATACTAGAGATAGCAAGTAGAGATAACCAGAGAGCAAACAAGACTCGGTAGACCCAAGAGTTGCTCTGATACAAGGATCTCAACTCTGTTCTAAAAATATATATAGGTATATACATTGAAGTCTTACAAAGTTCTTGGCAAGGTAGGCATAACTCTCCCCATTCACAGATAAAGAAATTGAGGCACTAAGAGATTTAGCCACCTTCTGCTTTGTCAGGGACAGGTTTGCAGCTTTATTGCTTGCATAGTTGGCTATGAAAATTGTTAATGCCTGACTGCTTAGGGGATGTTGGAGAATACCCTGCTAAGAACAAATGCTTCTCTCTTAGATGTGCCCAGGGGATAGAAACTACTGTGATGAACTCAATAAGAAATTCTTACTCCTCCTTCCACAATGCTCTCAAGTTTATAGTTCAAACTAGGCCAATAATTAGCATTGTACCATGGTTTCTGTTCTCTTCTATAGCAAGATGTTCAGAGTCAAGGATAGAGTATTCTACAAAGCTTGGCAATTGGTATGATATACCTAAATTAAAAGACAAGTCCACTACAGACATCGTAGGTACTGTATATGGCTTTCTGAGAGCTCAAATAGTGATGGGAATGGAAATAATCTCCACTAGAAATGCTACCTCTTTTATTGTTCATTCCTGCCCATCCCATCATATATGCTTAGTGGTCCTGAAATTCCCCACCCCTTGCCTCCTATTTCTTCTAACAGTGACCCTGATTCAGAACTGATGATTCTTCTCTCTTCATCTCACCACATGCATAGTGTTAGGGTTACTTATGTTAAGTATCCATATGTGATGTGTAAGGGTTTGGGGAGTGGGTAAATGGAGGAGGGTCTGGTTGGAGACTTTCTGGGCAGGACCTTCTAGTTCCTTCTCCCTTTTCCTTGCCTAACCTAGTGCTAGACATGCAGTGAGAAACTAATGAATGCTTATGGATTGTTGAATGTTCTCCATGAACCGTGCCTCAGAAATCAAGAGCAGCTGTAGATGGGAGAGAAGGCACCCAGGAATTCTGTCTCTTCCCACTCTCTGCCTCCCCTACCCGGCTGCCCAATTCCTTAGTGTATGGGCAGGCAGCACTGGGAATCTACCTGTCAGAATGAAAACTGGAAATGAGAGAGCATTATAAATCCATCTACGGTGCTTCGCCCAAGAGTCATTGGGATAGGGGACAAAAAAAACGGGAAGCTGTTCTGATTTGGAACTGCTCCCAGAAATGGAAGACCAAGGGCAAAGGGCAGAGGGGCATGTGGAATGGGGAGGGCAATGTGGCGTCTTCCTGCTAAGAGGTAGTGTGAGTACAAGAAACACTGAAAGAGAAGAAGGGTTGCCTGTCAGTCTAGGAGTGAGGTAAATTTGGCTCCTCAAACCACCAGCATGAAAATGTACAAACACGTTTATTAATGTTTTGTTTTTGTTTTTTTTTTTGTAATTTGTCTTTTTTTTCTCCTCTTTAAATTCCTCTAACTGTTGAAAATATCCTTCAGTGATGTAGCAGAGGCCGCGGGGCGAGGGAAAGGTGCAGGGAGGATGGAGGAAACAGGGCTGACAGCTGGAGGCAAGGGAAAGGGGTGGCTTCTACCCAGAAAAGAAAGGGAAGAGAGTAGAAAGAAGTGTCCAGATTGGCTGAAATAGCATCCCGAAGAAGAGTAGAGAAGGAGACTCTTATTGTGTTTGCTGATTGCTCCGACCTCCAGTCTGACTGCTTCAGCGTTGGGGAGAGAAACCCTCCCTCCTGCCCCGGCCCCCCCATTAGGGGAGGAGGTCAGTCAGGGATGCAATTGCTGGGAGATCAGTTGGAGGTATCAGAGTGAACACTGCCAGGGCCTTCTGTAGGGGAGGTCACTGATGAAGGGGTAGTAGCATCCTGCCAACCTCCATTAGCCTGGAAAAAAAGAACAAAAGCAAGTCAGCCCCTCTGTGATCCAGGCTCTCCTTTTTTTCACCTTACCAATAGTTTAGCCATTAAGGCATTCCCCCGCCCCCCTCCCAATCATTGTTCTTCTTTCCCCTTAGATAAAATGTAGATTTTAGCCCCCAGAGTTTAGTCTTTGTATAACATCCTAACATCCTGCACTTGTAATGAATGTGCTTTTCAAAGTGCTTCCACATGTATGATCTCATTTCATCACTGCACCAAGTTTGGGGTAGGTGAATCAGAGGCAATCTTCCTAAAGCTCAGGTCTACCCATGCCGTGCTCCTGGTCAAGGAGCTTTAACAGCTTCACAGCCTGAGTAACACTTCAGGAGGCCTTGCCAGACAGTTTTTCACACTGCTCCCCACCACAAACTTTGCATTCCAGCCATACTTATCTATTTCTTGTTCCCCCAAACCTGGCATTCCTTTTCCTATCTCCCATGCATGAAATGCACCCACTAACTTCCTTCAAAGTTCAGCTCAGACACCACCTCTTATGGAAAGCCTTTGCATTATAACCCTACCAGTTCTTACATCCTGTGCCTCCACAGACCAGCTTGTATTTAGAATGAAAGATCCTTTCAGACAGGGACTGTTTCCTCTTTGTATCCCTAGTACCTAGGAGAGTTCCTGGCACGTAGTAGGTGCTGACTTACTGATTTATCTTTGTACATAAGATCATATATTTATAAGGAGAAAGGACCTTAGAGATTAAGTCCAAATCCTTCTTTTTATAAATGAGGAAGTTAATACCCAGACAAGTTAAGTGAATCACCCACTTAATAGGTGGCAGAGCTGGCATTTAAACCCAGATCTTCTGCCTGAACCACCTGAACTCTCCCAGAACGATGTAAGATACTTAGGTGGGAACAGGGATTGTTTTATTTTTGTATCCCCAGGGCCTATCAAAATATTTTGTCCATAGTAGGCCCTCAGTAAATTTAAGTGTTAGATTATACTCTATAGTAAAGAAAATGGGCTACATGTAATTTCAGTAAAAAAGACAATGGATGAAGCATTTCACTAAAAGACTTTCTCATTCCAACAACCTAAGTCAGCCATGTCTACAGAAATATGTTCTCCAACAATAGTCAATGAACAAGTCCCTTCCCACTAAAAGTCTAGTTTCAAGCCACAGTGAGGTAGGTGACCACGACAACTTTTAGATGAACAGAGGCCATAAAGTAGCCAAGACAGAGATTCAAGCCAAAGCAATTAGAAGAAGCATTTTTGATCATTTCAATGGAAAACGTAAAGATGAAATAATAAAGAAACACTGTAAACCCCCACCCTCCCCCCCACTCCCAATAATACATTCCAGAAATAACTCTGAATCCCTTGCCAAATTCTGGACACTGTTATCTGAAACATTTAGGTTAGACACACAGAAGCACTTCCTCCAAGTAAAGTGCTTTTAATACTAGGAAATATTGTGCAACTCCCTTCTCTGGGGGGCCTTTTAGAAGAAGTTAGATACCTACATGTCACTGTTGATAAAAGCCCTACAAGATCACAAACCCCAAGAAAAAAAAAAACCACATTAACTGGATTTCTTATAAATCACAAAGGTTGTACTAGCTGTATCATCCCAGCTTTCATGTTAAGACTTTCAGATGATGCACAGTCTTGGGAAACAGCTGACCTTGCTTACTGCCATGTTAACCCTAGGGAGCAATTCCTTTCCTTTTCCTGGACTGTGGGTGAATATTAAGTAGGGAGCTAGGCCTTTGTGCATTTATTTATCTTTGAATGCAACAGCAGCCAGAGATACTCCCTCGAACAATGGCATGGTGGGGGTTAGACGTGGTGGGGGCAGAAGGTTCTAGGGTTTTTATTTTCTCCTCTCTACTCTGCCCCCTCACAACACCCACATTATTTTCAGATGCAAATCACACCCTCCCCCAGGGACATGCTAACTTTTTAAAATGCTTGTGCCAAACACTACATTGAGGGGAGGAAAAGAGTTCGAAGGCTAATGTGCAGCCCAAGATGTGTCCAATGGATCTTCCACATGATTCCCGAAGGGGAGCCACAATGCTTTTGGATTGAATTTGGTAATTCTGCCTGGAAGGAATGAATAGAAGCAGCTGGTAGAGGACTGGGCCCGGAGCCAGGAACACCTGAGTTCAAATCCAGCTTCAAACACTGTGTGACCCTGGGAAGTCACTTCAATGCTGTCTGACTCAGTTTCCTCAGCTGTAAAATGATGGTATTAATAGCACCTACCACCAAGGGGTGCTGTGAGGATCAAATGCGATGATATTTGTAAAAGCACTTAGCACAGTGCCTGGCAAATATAAGTGCTTAATAAATGTTTATTCCTCCTCCTTACTTGTAGGGCCTTAGTAAACCTGTAGCCTAGATCAGTAGATACAATGTGAAAGACTCACACCAAGTGAAAGGGTAGAATGAAATGTTGATAGAGTAGAGAGAAAACCTTGGGGTTTAGAATCAAAAGACATGGGTTGAAATCCTATCTTGGGGGCTTAAGCCACCTTTGTGACTTCAGAAAAGTTTCTTTAGCTTTCTGGACCTCCATTTCCTTATCTGGAAAAAGCAGGGACTGGATTACATGAGATCTTTAGATGAGAAGTCTTTTAGGGTAAAATGCAGCAATCATCTACCATACGGAAGTTCTGGTTTACCAAAAATACAAATGAGTCCTCTGCTGGGCATCGAAAGCTCTTTATGGTCTGTCTCCGACCTTTCCTCCCCAGGAGGATTTCACATTCTACCCTCTCACTCCTCACCTACTCAATGTTCCAGTAAAACTGGCCTACTACAATATACTATCTCCTGACTGTATGTTTTTGTACAGGCTGTTCTCCAGACCTAAAATACTCCTCTCCCTCTCATCCCCCCAAATTCTCCCTCCCTCTGTTTGTCTTTGGGATTGTCTAACTCCCTTCAAATTCTCAAACATACAAAAGGCCTTTCCTGGTTCCCTAACTTTAGCATGCTCCCTTGAGCTACCCAAATTACTCTGAATTCATTTTTATATAGATTAATCTGGATCTATGTTGTTTCCCCTCATGGAGTATCTGTTCCTTGTAGGCAGAAGCTGTTTTTGTTTTTGTTCTCATACTTCCCCCTCCCCTGACCCCGTACATTACACAGTTCTTGACATACAGTTGGTACTTAATAAATGCTTATTTAATTGAATTGCATCTACTTTATAAAGAAGTTATTTTTTTTAAATATGCCTCATTATACCTATAAATAACCAGGTCTTTGTTTATATTTAAAATATGAATTGATTTCTATCCAACTTTACAACTTCTCTATAAATTACTTCTCAACTAGCGTAGGAATGGAAAACATAGAAGAAAAGACAAGAAGAAATAGTGGAAATGCAGCCCTATTTCCTGACCATAGCATGGGCCCTTATCAACTCTTCCCTTAACTACTGTTAAGAGCCTGCTGACTTTTTCCTCAATGCCACCACAATAATCTTCCCTTACAAGGCACAGGAATTACCATGTCACTCCCATACTCACAAAACTTCAGTGGTTCCTATTTCCAATAGTATAATATACTATTTCTTTTGTTATTGTTGTTGGGTCATTTTTTAGTCAGTCTGACTCTTTGTGACCCTATTTGTTTTTGTTTGTTTGTTTTTTTGGCAAGGGTATTGGAGTGGTTTGCATTTTCTTCTCCAGCCTATTTTACAGAGGAAGAAACTGAGGCAAACAAGATGAAGTGACTTGCCCAGGGTCACACTGCTAGTAAATGTCTGAGGCTGGATTTGAACACACAAAGAGGAGTCTTCCTGACTTCAGGCCACCACCCTATCCACTGTGCCTTAGCCTGACACTTAATGTTCCTCTTAGTCTGGCTTCAATCTGCTTTCCTACCTTTATTTGATAATAGTCCCTTTCAAGTAGCCAACATTCCAGCCCAAATCGGACTACTAGATGTTCTCTGAATTCAACATGTCATCTCTTGCTTCCCTGTTTTCCCGAAGGCTGTTCCATGCTGTTTAGCAAGCACTCTCTCCTAATCTTTGCCTTTAAAAGTCTTTCTCTTTCTTTAAAACTTAGGTCAGGAGCAACTCCACCATGAAGCCTTCCTTATAAACATTCCCTCTCATCCCCCAAACTTAAGAGTTTTTCTGAGTCTGCTAAATATTTCTTAGAATGTTTTGTCTCTATTTTCTTTACCATTTTTGTCAATGTACATGTCAAGATCCTCTTTTACACCCCCTCCCCATAATATAGTATAATCTTCTTGAGGGAAAAGACATTGTTATTTTGTGAATGTTTGTATTCCCATTGCTCAACATAGTACATAGAAGGCATTTAAAAAAAAATGTTGAATTGGATTGAATTGGCCCAATGCACAAGATTTTTGTGGGGAGGGAAGAGCGGTCAACTGTGACCACCATGTTTCCCTGGTCATTTTTTCTGAAAAGAAGCAGGTGTCACTTGCTGGAAATTCCTCTGAAGTAGATCCAAAAGTGCTTCAATTTAACCTTGTACGCTAACTAGGATTGGTTGAGGCTGAGATCTGTTAGTTGTATCCTCCTCCCTTTCCCACTCTTCTCTTGTGCTTACCTTAGCAGCACACCGTTGATGCAGAGAATCCATCACTGGATGTGACAGCCTATGCTAGCCTGGCACTGAGAAACTCTCATTTGCAACCCAGAAAGACGCTGAGGTGCCACAAACAGGCTGATGTCAGCACCAACTCGAGCTAGATCTGCATATGGGCCAGCTGCCATTACCAGAGATGCCTTTGGTGTGAATGAGGGGGTGTATGTGCTCGAGGGCCCTAAATCACCCAGGTAATGGTGGGGCTGGCTAGAGTCGTTTGACAACGGGAGAGACATCAGCAAAAATAGACAGGAAAGTAGAAAAAGAGTCCCAGAATCCATTGTTTTTTCCCCACCAAAGGGAGACTTCAGTTCTGATACTCTTAAAACCTTTCTCTTTTGTGATACCCACTTCCATTAGTAATGTTTGCCAGGT